CCATTGGTGAAACCCAAAATAAATGAGAGGGCAAGGGACTGTGGATGGTAACAGGGCAGAGGAATCATTTCAAAGGGGGTGTAGGGAATGCCAGCCTGTTGACATTCAGGTACATAAAGACTCTGTTTCCTTGAATTGCTTAGCCCTAGTATGATGAGAAAGATGGGGCCCTTTGGCAATATGGAGGCTGAAGGAGCCTCTGGGATCCCTGAAGGAGGGGACCCACTAGAGTCTGTTGCCCTAGCTGACATTTTCAGGGTTAAAATGGCTATCACAACCTGTGTGCTCTTATTGTCTTAATGGGTTGTTTCTGTTGGAGCTAAATGTAATTACTAAATAATCATTTCCAGTTGTCCATTGATTATTTATGCATGAAATATTTAATGAAAATAGACCCAAATGCTCCAGTCGTGGAAAGGCCAGTTTCTGAGAAAACATTCATACTCTTTCATACTCCAGTTGCAGGTTATTCAAGAACAAAAGCAAAACAACAAAATGATCTCAACTTTAACAGAACCTGGTCCCAGGATCATTCCAGGACTTGTGCTGTAAGGCTCAGAGGAACAGAGCTGCAAATAAAGTAACTGTAACAGTTTCAAGAGAGGGACCTGAAGATGTTTTCCTTAGCCGTGGGTTCCATGAGTGTCAAACGGCAATGCATTCCTGGGAAGAGGACTTCATATTTGATTTTCATTTTCCTGGTGAAAATCCTTTACACCAAGTCTTTAAACATGATATAGCAAAATATTGCCAAACTCCTTTTGCTGTTCTAAATAACCTGACTTTTCCTTCCCATATTAGTGATGGATTCTTGGGCAAAGCCATCATTATCTAAACATTGCAGGAAAAAAAATCATATTTTTATATTGTATAATTCATTTAGACTCTTATGGACTCAGCTGTATTTCTGTTGTTTTATAGCCTTGGAAAAGGTGTTCGGCCTGCCTTTATCTTCATCCATGTTGCCTGAGTGAAAATGTTGAGCAAAAAGGTGAAAAAATGATCCTAAGTGGCCCAAGTAAAGTTCAAGGCTCTTTGACTCACAGAGTTTAAATGAATTTAACTGAGATTTTAAACAAAGCTAAAAATAAATCTGTCTAGCATGCTTGTCACAGCTTTCAAAGCAGCTAGAATCAATAAGCAGCTCACAGTTGCTGTATATAAATACCATGATCTTTACTGTCCTTCTTGAGCTGACCTGTGCGAGGTACGAAGGCAGGTAGCAGGTAGTTGTTTCCACACTGTGCTATCTAGTTTTTACCTAAGTTAAGAATCCGAACCCCACAACACTGGGCATTGGCTCTGATATGAAGATGACCTTTGTAACTAACTCTTCAAGACATTCAAGATTATTTTCCCTATCACTAAGGTGGCAAACCACACAGCTTGAACTCTGTTGCCTTCCACAGCCCCTCAAGGTGAGTTGATCACTGTACTTCTTTCCCTTAGTTCTTCAAGACAGATGCATTTCCTTTCTCATGTTACCTCCATAGCCAGAGACCTTCCTCCTGGTCTGAGTTATAGAGATAACCTCTAGCAAGCTTGCCCGCTTATAGTGTTGGCACAAACAGATTTTCTGGACCATCACAGGAAACAGGCTATGTCTCTTCTTAAAAATTCTCAATCAGTTATTATCTACAGACAAGAATCTCTGTCAGCAACCAATACAGAAATTTCTACGAGCAACTGCTATGGCAAGACTCAGTGCTAGGTGCAGTAGGAAGACAACCAGGTCTACTTGGTTCTCTATTGGGTCTTTGATTAATTTATGATTTCCTGTATGGCAGGCATTATACTTGTTCGGTGTAAATGTATAGTGGCAAGACTGACTTCCAATCAGCATTTTTGATACAATACATAATTACAGTTCAGTATTGTCCTGTAATGTATACAGTTTGGAAAGCCATAGATATGTTCCTTCCAGGTTGCCTAGAGTAGCCTCTACTATTTTAAAAACTAGTTCTTTTTAGAGTTTGTACATTATAAAAGAGTCTTGCCTCTCCAATTCTGGTTCAAGGCACAATTTGCTGGATATCTACTTAATACCAAGCACTGTGTCAGACCCTTGGCATGCACAATGTGCTAAGTGCCACCAAGAAAGGCTATGAGGAGCACACCGTAGTAAAGGAGCCTAGGTTTGTTAGCTTGCTGAAGCAAGGATGAATGAATACTATTGTGGAGTGTTCCACCAGGAGCAAGTTAAGGAAGAGCATGGGCAGAGTGTTCAGAACGTGTTTAGAATTAGCCCTAGCAATTTGGTCAGAATTTGAAAACTAGGAAGGTTCTGGAACAATTAGCAGTCTTATCTTTAGGGTACATAACTGCATTGTTGTGGCTGGATTTTAGTATACTCTTATTCAGAACCAGTGAATGACCTGTGTGGCGAGTCTGAATTGAGTTCATCTTGCATGTCATGGTTTGGTAACTTTTTTTTTTTTTTTTGGTGCTGTGAGTCACAATACAGTTTTTCAAGCTGTGGCTTCTGCTTAATTTTCAGACCCCCTTTCACATGCTTTCATTTTATCAGAAGAAATAGTGACATAGTTTCTTTCTTCAGGAAGTTCCCTGTTTAGGCTATCATAATTTAGTATGTGTTCTAATAAAGATCTGAACAACGTGTTATAGAGTTCAGAAGAAACAACTAATTTTTAAAAACATTTATTTATTTCTAATTTATATGTCTGAGTGCCTTACCTGCATGGATGTAAATGCACCATGTACATGCAATGCCCATGAAGGCCAGAAGAAAATGTCAGATTCCCTGGAACTAAAGTTACAGACAGTTATTAGCTATCATGTAGGTGCTGGGAACCAAACCCAAGTTTTCTGCAAGAGAAGTCAGTGCTCTTAACTACTGAGCCATCTCTCCAGCCTCAAACTAATTTTTTTAACATACCATTTGTTCTCTTTCTTTTCTTTTCTTCCTTCCTTTCTTTTCTCTCTTTCTTTTTTGGGGGGGTCAGGCTTATATTTAGCTCAAGCTAGCCTCAAACTTGCTATGTAGCTGAGGCTGGCCTTGACTTCTTGGTCCTCCTGCCTCCACCTCCCAAGTGCTGGGATTACAGGTGTGTGCCACCATGCCTAACTAAGTATACCATTTTATTGAAATTCTATAATATATAATATGTAACACTTAAAATACATTATGTACTAGGCAAATTACATACATTATTTTGTTGAATCTCAGCAGTATGAAGAGGGTGTTATTTTTCTTATTCTTCATTTAAAGTAAAGAAACTGAGATAGGTTAAATGCAAAAAGGTTAAATAGGCATTCCTGCCCACCCAGCTAAGACATGATGGGTCTTAGATGTCTTTACACAAACATTTGCTAGGGACTCTCCGAGTGCTTTATAAAGTCTCCAGGACAGACCTCAAAGCTGTGAGTCTTGATCCTATTTCACTATCGAGGAAACTTGAGGTTTGGGGATGTGAAGTATCAGCTCTGAGGTCACAAAGCTGGTGATACATGGCAGAGGCAGGATCTGGGGCCAGGCAGTGAGGCTGTAGAGCCGTATGCATAACTGCTCAGTCTGATGCTTCTCGTTAGCCCTAGTCTTGTACAGTCTGGCCTTCCAGAACCTGTGTTCTAAACCACTATTACAGCTTAGAGCCAGAGGAGAAACTTCACAGAAACGTTGACATATGATCCAGGGCTTGGCAGATAAAAAGGGCTATTTCTATAGGGATCATGGGAAGCAGCAGAACTTAAGGAGCCCTGGGGACAGGAGTGGCCCTGCTGGGTTAGGGAAGAGTGAGGTCTGAGGGACTCTTTATGGAGGAGCAGTAGGCGGAAGCCGATGACGCTGGAGGCAGGAGTGTGGATCAGGCTGGGTCTTTGTCCTTCATGTGTGAACAAAAGAATGTTCTTCTTCTAAACACCACACTAGCTCTAAATGAGCATTCAGGAAAAAAAAAATCAGCGAAGATATTCATGCTGAAAGCAACTTCAGAGAAGTTCTGGGCATGTGTTAAGTGAAAGAAGCTATAAGAAAGAAAAGCTGCTTAGAGATATTTTTAAGGCAATTTCTTTGAAGAGCACAGCACTCATCTTAACATCTGTGTCTCTGTAAGTTAAACAAAAAAAATTTCACTACTTTCAATGAGTCTGGAGTCCGGAAGAACCTCTTTTATTTATGGAGTCCTGGGAGTGACGTGAGTTTAATCTTGGGAATATCAGCTCTATAAGGTAGAGACACTTGCATGTCCTAATTGTGTCAATAAGGAAACAGATTCAAAGGACTCGAGGGATTTTGGTAAGTCATGAAATGATCAGTGGTAGAGCCAAGGATTCCTATTAGTTTGATTCTAGCACTCAATCGCTCTGTTGTTCTGCTTCAAGAAGTCTGTGTCCTTCTGGCTTATGAGATGCAGAATGCCCCAACACAACAGGAATCTTATACCCTGGAGAGGCAGGGGCAGCACTGGGACTTAGAAGAGAGGGGCTTTTGAAGCTTCCTCCCTCCTCCCTAGTTCAGGATTAGAATTACCCTTCTCTGAGTGTTTTCTACCACTGAACTTCCTACATTAAAATAGTCACGTCACCAAGAAATAGTACTCCTTGGACAGCAAGAGATGCTCCCCAAAGCTAAGGACTGAAATCTTGGACCCTACTGGCCACTGTAGCTCTTCTCAGGTTAGCTGGGACATGGGTTCATCAGTCAATTAGCAGCTAAATTTGTGATATCTTTTCTGTTACTAACCTAGTGGTTTGTTTACTCAGAACTAACAGGTGTCCTTATTAGGATGTGTGGTCACAAAAAGGTCTTTGTTGATTTGGGGCATGTGATAAACTTTGTTAATTTTGCATATGGTATGCTAAATGTTTACAGGATCGGGGAAAAGGTGGAAATGGCAGGTAATGACTGCTGAATTGTATATTCTTGAAATGAGGAGATGGTTTGTTGTAATTTTTTGCTATAGACTGCACTTGTGAATTGTCTTACTTCATTAATCTAAAAATGACCTTTCCCTTTGCCCCTGTGTTTATTCTGTTTCCAGTGGCAGGTAGAGTGGCTAGTGAGAGACTGAAGAGTAAGGACAAAGTCTACCTTGGATCACCCTGGGTAAGTTACTTAAACTTTTTGTACCTAATATGCTCTCTCTTTGCATATTTGTGCATGTGTATGTGTGTGTGTGTGTGTGTGTGCTTGTGCATGTGCAGAATGGAGGTCAATCTCAGGCAATTTTTCAGGAGCCATTCACCTTGTTTTTTGAGACAGGGTCTCTCTCCCCAGTTAGGCTAGTCTGGCTGGCTAGCAAGCCCCAGGGATCATCCTGCCTCCACTTCCCCAGTGCTGGGATTACAGGCATGTGTCATACCTGGCTTATTATGTGGGTTCTGGGGACTGAACTCAGGTCCTCATGCTTATATGGCAAGCACTTTACTGACTGAGCCATGTGCCCAATTCCAACTTCTTTGATTTCCGTAATGGAAATGGTATGAGTACTTATCTTATGTGGTTATTCTGACGATTAGGCTAGAATATCCATGAAAATCACTTGGTACACACATTACTTGGTACATAGTATGAACTCAGTAACTACCAAAGGAGCTGCTGTGGTGTAGTAGGCTTGGGTGTAGGCTGTGCATTGCACAGTTCCCAGGCTGTCTTCCATGTGGACAGTGTGATAGGAACACCACATCTGGGGTCAGGCTGTGCAGGGATCCTTCCCTAGGATCTTCTCTAATTGCCTTCCATGTGTTAGCTCTTTAACCCTCACTGTCATCCACTATTACTCTTGCTCATGACCTAGACACAGATGCTAATGTCCTTGTTCAAGTATAGTTACCTGGCAAGACTGGATTATTAGCTATTCATCTTATCATGGTATGGATCAGTGTTAGTCATGAAAGGCAGGGAAGATCTCAAGAGTTTGGTTTCAGTTGTTAATATATAATGTACTGATTGTCCTTATGTGTTTTAGTATTTCTTGGAATAAGTTTATATATAATACATATAATTTTAGCTTTTTAAAATTTTACTATTTTTATTTTATGTCTATGAGTGTATTGCCTGTATATATGTAAGTGTACCCATGTCATGCAATGCCCTTGGAGGACAGAAGAAGCTGTCAGACTCCCCTGAAACTGGAGTTATGGATGGTTGTTAACCACATGTAGGTGTTGAGAATTGAACCCTGGTCCTCTACAAGAGCAGGCAGTGCTCTTAACCACTGAACCATCTTGCCAGCCCTAATTTTAGCTTTTTAATAATAATTTTAATGATGGAAATTCATGAATCCACTAGAACTTGAAAAAGGATCACACACCTTTACTTATCAGAATTTAGCTTTATGTGATAAGGGTGGGAGGAAGAAAGAAGGAAGTAGAGAGGGAGAGGGAGGAGAGGGAGCCCATGGACAGCGGGCAACCATCAGCAATCAATCGTCTGCCTGTTCCTTTTGCTCCAGTGAAAGACAATTCCCCAGCCACACTGCTCAGATGGCTTCAGCCGTATCCCTACAGGGGCCTTTAATAATGTACTTTTCATATAACATGGACCATAAATGAAGTCAGTTACTTTAGCTGGTGCTTGGTGCAAGAAAGGAGGATCCAGTCCAATACCCAGCCGTGCTGGGACTGCTGACAGGTGGCTTAGCAAGTCCCCAGGAGAAACCTTCTTTCAGAGCAGTTTTTAAACTAATTAACCTTTTCAAGAAACCTCTTCTGTCCTGGGTGGTGGTTGGTGATATCTGAAATGATTCTGGGTTCTCCAGGGCTCTTGCCTCAGCCAGAGACAGCCTATGCATACCTATGGGTATACTGGGTTTTCCTGCTTGCTATCTGCCTACATCCCTCTTCCTTATGTAGTCAGCCCCTCTACATACGCTGCTGTGTTCAACTCCACAGCCACGTCTCTTTAGGGCCCTGACTCACTTCTCTTTATTGGCATCAGAAACTTGAGCCTCTTTTGGCCCTCCCAGAAATTTCTTGACTTCTGCGTGCCTGCAAAGGGAATCCAGACACATACACCAGTACTGTTGATGTCAATAGATAAACTCTGAAAAGTTCCATATATTTCAAAATTAGTTCTTGTTCTCCTGAAACTTTATTCAGAGAAATACAAGGTTAATGCTTTTGTGTTGGTGGGATTGCCACTGGGTCAAGTCTGACTCTTTTTTACTCAAATTCCATTCTTATGTGATACATAAGGGCTTGTGGGTATGAGTGGCATTGGTGGCATCTCTGCGTGCCATGGTAATTTACAGTGCTTGGGACAAGGCTGTGTGAAGGTATAGTTTCTCCAACTCACTGCGCTAGGCTAAGAAGGGTCCAGGAGAATGGCAGGAGATGGATACTTTGTAGAAAAATAGGATGCTGGCCATTTGATGCTTCTCCAAAGGTGACTCACTGTGTCCTTTTCCCCTCAAGAAATCACAAAATACACCTTTCTTTCTGCCTAATCCCCAAATCAAACTATTCTCTATCGCTGCCATTCACAGAACTAAATTAAAGCCAAGCTAAGATGGAAGGAGAGGATGTTTTGTTTAGAAGACATAAAAAAGGCAAGTTTAGCATGTGCCCATGCCAAGCAATCAAAGGATGCTGGTGCATCTGCTGTTTGCTGAGGGGACTTTGTCCCCTGAGCTGCTTCTGTATTATCTGATATTGAAATGGTTGTTGGAAGCTCAGTTAAGAAGGTGTTGTTTGCCCTAATGCCATGGGTATCTAAGAGAATATGGCTTACAAGGAAGAATATTGAAGGTTGGGGAGTAAAGTATCTGTCATATAAGCATGAGGACCTAATTTTGATCCCCAGAACCCATGTAAAAAGCCAGGCATGGTGGCATGTGTCTACAATTCCAGACAAGAGGCTTCTTGGAACTCCTTGGCCAGGTAGCCTGACCAAGTTGGTAAACCCTGGGTGTCAGTGAGAGATTCTGTCTTAAAAAACAAAAAGAAAGGCACCCAAGGAACGAACAGTGCCTAAGGTACACAGACACAGACACAGACACACAGACATAGACCACACACACACACACACAAACACACACACACACATACACACACACACACACACACACACACACACACACACAAGATAAATAAAAATATAGAATTTCAATAGGGCCCAAATCTTTGCTTGTTTTCCACCTGATTATCTGAATTTAAAGTAGAATGCCATCTTCCTCTCTGGATTTCTTAAAGCTGGGTCAGCTCAGTTGTACCTTCTATGCCGGACTGAACTTTCTCAAGGCATTCAGTGCATTTGGTAAGAATGAGCTATTCAACTTTTTGTAAATTGGGGCTGTGATATAATTGGTACCCAAGACAGAGTCTGGCACGTAATTGGTACTCCCTTGCGGAATGAATGAGTGATTGCATGAATGGTGTTAAGATGTTCTGATTCACTCCTTTTTCTGTAAGTTCCTTAAACACAAAGCCAGGGCTAGTTCCGCAGGGCTTGTGGCAGGGATCATGCAGGCTCTCAACAAAAGCATTGTTTCTGGTCTTCTAGTTGCTGTTCTAGGCATGCTGGGGCTGTTATTTAAGGGAATGTGTTGTGAAAGGTTTTGTTAACTCTCTGAATCTGATTGTCTGAGAATGTGAAACTTTAAAAAGTTTCAAAACCAGAGGAATGAGGGCAAATGCTTTTCTTGCTACTCCTATATTAGAACCAGGGAGAACAAAAGCAGTCCAGGCCAGATCTTTTTAACCTGAGGTGGGCAACTATATATGTTATAAATCTTGGCTCATGGGGAGTGAGACTCATAGTCATTCAGTCTGAGGAAGATAGAAGAGTTTGGAGAATGAGAAGAGGATGAGCCAAGCAGAAAAGCATCAACAGCAAAGCTACAGCCCAGGATTTTTAAAAATGAACTTATTTATTTAGATGTGTCTGTGTGACTGGCAGGAATGCACGTGCCACGGCACACGTGGAGGTCAGAGGACAACTCGTGGTAGTTCATTCTCTCCTTCTACCATGTGAGTCCCTGAGATCACACTCAGGTTGTCAGGCTTGGCAACAAGTGACCTAGCAGCCCACTGAGCTGTCTCACCAGCCCTACCCTATGAGACGAGCAATTATATTTTCTGGGTCCTTGAAGTTGAATGTGGACAATTCTAGAATTAGCATCAGTATTCTGGGTTTGTATAATTTAGCATTATATCATAATATTTCTTCAAGTTGCAAGATTATTTTGTTAAAGAAAATCATATTCTAATAAACTAACATGCAGTCATTTGGTTGGTGGGTGCCAGTTTGTTGCTCTTATTGTTTGTTTTTTACTATTAGAATAGTGTGAGCATCTTTGCATGTACAGAGTTTCTTGCTTTCCTTTAAGATGAATTAGTACTACATTAAAGAGGAGAAATGTTTTTATGACTCTGGATACCTATTGCCAGAATATTTTTCAAAGGGCCAGAACGAACACATCTAGGGAATAGTTTAGCTCCCTTTGAATGCCGTGTGCTCTGCTCAATGAAATTTACCATAGTGTGATCATCGGTTCCTATTGTAAGTCTGAAACCATGTTCTCCAAATTGTTCCTTCTCTGTAACCTGCTGTGCTGCCCCCATGAAAGCTAGATTTCCACCAGGGCCTCTGTACAGTATCACAAAGAAATACCCAACTATCAAAAGCAATTAGAAACATCCAATGTTTGCTGTATTTATCAAAGAGCATGTGATGAAAGTCCTCAAAAAAACACCTTTCTCCTTCATAGTCCAATCATGTTAACGTTGTTTGGTGTCGCCCCATTAATCTGCTATCTCTTTTCTAATTGGCTTCTCCATTGCATTTCTGTTGGTGCATATTATCCAGTTAATATACTCAGCCATCTTCCCAGAAGCCCACATGCCCTGTACCATCCTATACACGACCCTTACCATTGCATGGATCCTCCCTTGAGAAATAGTCTAATTATCATCTGAGGGAGTTTTCTCACACTTAGAATTCACACAATAAGACAAGAACCCCAAAGTTAAGCTGACGCATGAGCGTTATACCTTTCTTTGAAATAGGAGGAGATGCGGACATTGCATAACCACATAGTAATAATTTTGTCTCTATCACATTTGATAATAACAGCTATAATAACAGCAAAAGTATGTTTGCTACAG